TAACCTTCCATATCACCAGTCGTGGATTCGAGTTCTGTGGGACTTTGTTTTTGATGACACTATTGGTCCTTATTCAAGGGTTAAGAGACTATGCAAGCTGGCAAAAGAAAGCTAATGGACTAGCTCTGCCTGCTGCATTGGTGTTTTGTTTGTTCATTTGAATAATTTCTCTTCAAAAGTAGGAGGATGTTTGTGTGTGCTGAATTTGCATTGGTGTGTGCTCCTTAGACCAAGAGAATGAGTGTGAAAATGAAGCAATTAGATGCACTATTTTAGACTACTGATAGTTTTTAATAAAGGATATTTGTGTACGTAACCTTGACAAAATAGATTAGAGTAAGCTGTGATTATATGAACCTTTGGCCTAGGCCTAGAATTAACTTCCTGGGCCACATGTGCCTATATCTGAGTTTTGGCCTTATCTGCAATGGAGAATGCATGTATGTGTGAGCATGAGTGTGTGTAGTTTTGGACTGGTTTCTCTTCATGCCAGGTAAGATGTAGATGCTCTGTGTGCACAGGACTGTGGAAACAGGGAGGACTGGCACACAGTAGTAAATGATACTTCTGGAGAACACAAGAGTGCCTTTACTTCAATGTCTTATGTAGTCTAGTATCTTCTGATAACTGCTGGTAGCAGAGATTTTGTACATGCAATGGAGTATGTGTTTTTGTACATTTGTGTCATTATTTTAGTAGCTGCTGTTTGACCTTTATTCCAGGACTTTGTCTAAACCTTTTCTGAATGCATGTCTATTCTTTGGATATAACTCATTGTAGCTAACTGGCAGAGCTGAAAACTGTGGTGTGGAGAAACTCTTCCTTTAGTCTTCTAAAGGATCAGGCTGGCTGCCTGATCAGCAGTATGGAAGTGCACATGGAGGAACTGGGCAGTCCATTCTCACCCGCCTTTTCAACAGTATTCAAAACTTTGTGTTTCTCATCTGTTTCCCCACTGTACATCTGTTTGGGAATGGCAGGGTTCTAGTTCTAATTGCTGCTTGCCAAGGTTGTTAACATTCCTGATCACCTTTCTTGGTCTTCTCTACATTGCACGCCTTTCTGTGCACAGGCGTTAGGAGTATGTGTCAGTGAAGACATGGAGACATTTTGGTGGTATTTGTCCCCAGCTGCTTTCAGAATAATTATAAGGTTTTACCTCTGTCATTCAAGGCATTTGACTTGACATTTGGGAAGCACATGGTTCTCCAGCTCTTTAAAAGTTGCCAATGATGGTGTTGAAGAGATATACTTGGAGCTAGGGTTGTTTCTCTCCCTACATGTCTGTCTTTGTGCTACTGACATCAGCCTTCACCTGTCATTTTCACCCACTGGAATAGTTGAATTGTCCCGACTGAACTCTCCAACTATAAACTTCTGCTATCATCAATAATTCTGTATCATCAAAAACCTTATATCACTGTACCTTTGTCCAAGCAGAACAGTATCTTGGGGATCAGGAGTTCAGATGCCATCTAGTAATTGCTCCACCCTGGAAAGATGACAGCTTATTTCTATCCTTAGTAAATGGTTAAAAGAGTGATCTATAAAGGCCTTCTTATACTCTAACCCTCTAACAATTTAACTTTTATATTTTCTCCTGGAAATCCATGTCTGTAACAAACAAAAGGATTATAGTGCATTCTCATTGGTCCATCAAAGTATGTTATTAGACCTGGGAAGCCCGATTTCCTTAATACGCACAATTTCATTCTTTCCTCCTACAGCACTGGATTCAGTAAGTCAGTCTGTCTGTTTGCTACCTGGCACACCAGGCAGCCGAGATAGCCTGCTGCAATTTGTGTTCCTCCTCCTCCATTTCCCCTTTCTCCATTTTTCTCATCTGTCTGATGAATCTGGTGAACACACAGGTTTGTTCAGCAGTGCATGATCCTTTGTGATGCAAGGCTGGAATACCAGTTCATTCAGATACTGTTTTGGTCTGTGGGTTGTGCTTCTGGAAGCATGGGGCCTCTTCTGACACTTCAGACTTAACTGGTTCTTCAGTGAAGAACATACTTAAGATGTTATATCTTAATTATTAAAGCATTTTTTCTCCCAAAGGAAGAGGCTTCGGTGTGGGAACCTACATTAACTTCATTGTATCAGTGTTCATCTCGGGGAGCTTCAGGCTTTTACTAATTTACTTCAGTGCTGCTGGCACTTCACGATCACATACTCAACTTCATGTGTCCTTCCTAAACTCTCTTGGCTGACTTAGCAAGTTAATATAAAAACCATAATAAAGATTATACTATCTTCCTCAACCTGACTATTGTCCTTCTCCTTTATGGCAAGTGACCTTTCTATAGTGCTTTACTCAGCTGTTTCATGATGCACTGATGTATGCAGTCTGTAGATTACTAGCCTAGCCTGACACAGAGGCTATGCTGTAAACGTAAGTAAGCAACTTGACAACTGCTTCTTATCCTGCCTCCCATCAATATTTCCATCACGGTCCCAGCTTCCTTTGCCTGGTGTTGTGGTTCAAGCCCAGCCGGCAACTTGGAACCACGCAGCCGCTCGCTCACTCCCCCCCTTTTCCTTCCTACCTCCGATCATGGAGGGATGGGGAGGAGAATCGAAGGAATGTAACTCCCACGGGTTGAGATAACAGCTCTCCAGTAACTAAGGTATAATACAAACCACTACTGCTACCAATAATAATGGTAAGAGGAATAACAAGGGAAAAGGACACAACCGCTCACCACCCGCCGACCGATACCCAGCCCGACCCGAGCAGCGATCTGGGCCTTCCGGGTAACTCCCCCCAGTTTATATACTGGGCATGACGTGCTGTGGTGTGGAATAGCCCTTTGGCCAGTTTGGGTCAGGGGTCCTGCCTCTGCTTCCTCCTGGCTTCCCCTCCTGTCTGGCAAAGCATGAGACTGAGAAAGTCCTTGGTCAGAGTAAACATTACTGAGCAACAACTAAAAACATCGGTGTTATCACCGTTGTACCCAGGCTGAAAGTCAAAAACACAGCACTGCACCAGCTACTAAGAAGGAGAAAAAATGACTGCTGTAGCTGAACCCAGGACACCTGGGTAGCTCCTGCTTTGTGCTTTCCACCTCAGTGGGAACTTGAAGTGGCCGGAAGCCTGGTGCGGGCAGACGTGCAGTGCAAGCTGAGTTTCAGTGTGTGTGGGTGCTGCTGGAGAAGGCTGTGATCCTGTCCTCTCCATGGGCGCTTGTCCTGGCCACTACCAGTAATGTTGGCAGAAGGGTTTTTTGATAACCAAAGGGCATGTGGGTCTGGGTTAAAAGTACATTAGGGCTATGTATAGGTTTATTCTCTTCACTTAATAATAAATTCACTAAATAATAAATAATCCTGTTAACTGTGTGCCCACACTAATGCTCTAGCAAGAGGAGATAGATAGGAGCAACAAATAGCTGTACTGGAGTCAGGAGTGGAGGTTAATGCCCCCTTTGATTTCTGCTGTGTAAAATGCCTGTGACCTACCCTCTTGTAGCCACTCAATAAGCCCAGCATGAAGGGACACCCTTCTCCACAGAGGCAACAGACAACCTGACTTAGTGTCTGGGAGGGGAAATCCTCTGACATTGCCACTACTACAAATAAGCTACGCTGGGCACCCCTGTCCCCGTAAGCTGGGAACCAGCAAAATACTAGTGCTGCCAGGACTGCTCTCTTGCTCCTATCAGCTGAGCTTCCCCTTCCACTCGTGCACACCTTGCTCCTACAACTATTAAGTGTCCCTGTGCAAACTTCAGTGTATTATGTCTTAATCATATGAAGCTTGCAAAGGCAGAAGGAGAATGTAAGAAAAACTCATTTACAGCAGGTGGCTGATGTTAACAGAGGGCACACTATATCCAGGGTGTACACTCAGCCTGAATTACAACACGGTTATTACTGACCTTAGGCACAGTGCCACATTGCAAGGGAGAATGTGAACCGTGCCAGGCTCCAACTTCCTAAAACTTAATTAAGATTATGGGAGAGTTTCACAGAATGGTTGTGATTATCTGAGAGGCAGCAGTTTTGAAAAGTACTCAACATTGTCAGGTATGCCATCGAGAAAGTTGGGGCTGTTCAGCCTGGAGAAGAGAAGGCTGCGTGGAGACCTCATAGCAGCCTTCCAATATCTGAAGGGGGCCTACAAGGATGTTGGGGAGGGACTCTTCGTTAGGGACTGTAGTGGCAGGACAAGGGGTAATGGTTTCAAACTTAAACAGGGGAACTTTAGGTTAGATATAAGGAAGAAGTTCTTCACAGTGAGGGTGGTGAGGCACTGGAATGGGTTGCCCAGAGAAGCTGTGAATGCTCCATCCCTGGCAGTGTTCAAGGCCAGGTTGGACAGAGCCTTGGATGACATGGTTTAGCGCAAGGTGTCCCTGCTCACGGCGGGGGGGGTTGGAACTAGATGATCTTAAGGTCCTTTCCAACCCAAACCATTCTATGATTCTATGATAATTAAGAAACACATCAGCTACTGTATGAGATTTATGCAACAGATCATTATAATCTTTGCTGTTACTGATGCTTGTCTGTGTTCTTCATTCTGGAAAGTCTCCTTCTTGTGCTTCTGGGATTGTTATATTGTGGTGCACATCAATGTCTGCCAGCCTTAATTCCCATGTGGAATCTTACCCCACTGCTTATCCTGTCTCTCATTTCCTGGCATTAAACGTCTAACAGCCATCAGGCTCAGCCTGGAACTCACTGTTGCATGAAATTCAGAGTTCTCCTGTATTAAATCTACAGTAAACCCACATTGTGAAAACCAGCCTGTCTTCTGAAAGGCAGACTGAGTTAATGTGAAGTGTGCTGAAGAGCAATCCCATGCTCTCCAAGCCAAAGCAAGTAACAGTTTCCAGCTAACTGCAAAGCACACCCCACACTGCCTCTTCTCCTGGGTCTGCTCAGGCTCCTTCCTCATGCTTTGTGTCTCAATCACCTTCCTCACATCATCAACCCAAGTGACATAAAAGTGCAGGAGCTCAAGGGATGAATGACACAAAGAAAGGCAGGGCCATGTGGACAATAAACAGTTTATTACCAATATGAACACAGATACTGTGATGCACTGACGTACCATTTTTTTATATTGTGATAACTCTGAGACAAAGAACTTGTTGGCTGACAACTAACATGTCTCTGTTTCTTCTCGTGATGCCTCAATACATTTCTGTTGGCAAAGGATCTTCATTTACATTGCAGACTACTAGTAAAATTACTTTGAAGTCATCTATCAAAAGCAAATGGTTCACGTGTGTTCTTATCTACTACTAAAAAGAAAGGTAATACATTTAAATAAGCAAATACAAAATACAAAAAAGGCTGACAAATCCAATGTGCAGTGTCAGATGAAATCTAAAAAATCCAGAAATTTAAAATTTAATATTCTTTAGATTAAGACTTTTAAAATGAAGCAAATCCAAGGCAGCAGCAAGCTTCAAAGTGTGCTGAGTCTGCTAATAAAAAGGGTATAAGAACAAAGACAGTGCCGGTGTCCTCTCTCACCATCTTGCATGACCTTGGTACACTTAGAAATGATCCGATCTTCCTAGCATTCTTAGTACCGTCCAAATGCTTTGCAATCATTATGTTGTACTGATTCTACTCAACTCCTGCCGTATGGCTAGAAAACCAAACCAAAAGGTTAATGCATAATGTCATACTCAGTGTGATGGAAAATGCTAAGTATAGAGGTTGCAGAAAGTACACGCTGGTAAAAGGATGAGTGGAGGATAAAAGGATGAGTAAGGGTAAGCAGTCAGCTGTTTGCTTGCAAACTGCAGTACTGGTGTAAGAAGTTGCATCTGTGGTTTATGTGAATGTCTTATTTTGCACTGGAATGAACTAGGGAGGCTCTGAGGGCCAAGCTGCTGGGACGGTAGCTAGGGTCTCCTCAACTGCAAACTGCCCTGAGGTTTTATGAGCACACAGATCTAGGGCAAGGGGACAGGGGATGGATTTTAGTTGTTTTACAGTCTCGTCTCTTTCCCCTTCTGTGTGAATCTAAGATGGGGAGTACAGGGTGTGGAAATGCATCTTCATATGCCCTAATGTAGGCTTCAGATAGGGATTTTGCTGTGCATTTCAATAATGGCCCTAAAAAATACATTTAGCTACATATTGCAGAGCAATTTGTAAAACAGTACTGATACATTTAGTACAGTCCTACTTTTCAGAGAATTATAAAAATACATGACTATTTGGAAAGCTGGAATTGAATGAAGGTCTGAAATAGCTCTTCAAGAATTGGAAACCTACAGAAGATGCTCGGGACGGATTTTCAGTTTGGTACCTTTGTCCCCTCCTCATCCCGACCTGTGTGGCTGGCTAGTTACAAGTGATTTCATGCTGCCTGATTGTGATAAATTGACATGGTATGGGAAGGCCCTCTCTCACCCTCTCACCTGTGAGAAACACCAGCAAGTGAATTTCTCACAGGCTAGGGGTGAAAATGTTCATCAACACCATGAAAACAAAGGATGTAAACACGATGTCACAATCAGAGCTCACTTAAAGTAGATGCTTGTTCTTCAAATGTGTGTATAAATCAGAGCTGCTCACAGAAGTCTGAAAACACCAGGGAACTCTCTGCAGTTCCTATCATCTTATCTATGGGAAATTAGTCATAAAGATGAGAAAAATAATAATTTTTCTCTTTCTTACCATCAATTATCTCCTCTTTCACTTTGTGTAACTCTCTTACAACTTCCTCCAATATTTCCTGATGAGACAAAACACAAGTCAGCTGCTCAGAATTTCCTTCTAACTGGTGGAAGAAAATGCAAGTTTAACATGGTTGTGCTTGTCCCCCGCCTCCTCTGACGATCAGAGCCTAGCGCTACTAACAGCTACCTCTGCACTCCTAGGCCAAGGATGCAGAAGATACTGGCATATTTATTTGCACGTTTCTGTACAGATATCTTGATGAAATAGCAGTGAGATTGTGCCCTCTTGCTGCTCACCATCTAGCCCTCCTCTAAGCACCTAGTTGTAGAGGAAATCAGAAGACTGAAGAGCTGTTTTGCTTGTACAGCGCATGCATGGGGGAAAATGGGTAGCTCGCCAAACCTCTGAGGTGCGAAAGACCTTTTCACTCACCTGTTTCATTCGATCAAAATCTAAGGCATCCATAGCCACATCATTGCTGCTGCTCACTGGCTTCATCCTGGAGACAGGGGAAAAGAGCATTAAAAAAGCCCATCGGTTCCTTGCAGTGGACATTAAGCTACATCTGCCTGATAGTGTCATTGAAATTCACCCCAAGAGCAAGAGCACTCGTGTTCAAGTACTGAACCAGAGGCTCCCTACTGTGCCACTCAAGAGAGTTTGGCAGCTGGAGAGCAGCACTGCTCCTGTTTGCACAGCCTGACCCTCAAAGATGCTGCTTTCTCCTATTGCAGACATACTGGAGGGAGTGCAAAGACTGCACTGAAACTTAATTTACTGTGTGTTTTTTGGTGTTGGGTGTCTCAATGATACCAGACTAGAAAATGCTGAGATGTCTTCAGGGGATAAAGCCTGTTTAACAGTGTGTTTTCTTACAGCATTTGAAATTTGCAAGCTAGATGTCTGGTTTTCTCTCACAGTCTGTTTTCTGTACTGCAATCCTGTCTTGGGCACCTAGACTTTAATTGGTGTTAAAATAATACCAGAAAACAAGTTAGAAAAATATTACAGGAAAAGTAATAACCCAGTAATCCTTTCCTTGGAAGGCCTGACTCAGTCAAGCGGAGACTGTTGACAGCACTGTGTAGCACCGGTACTTTTTCTTGAGTCAGAAACAAAACCAATCATCTGGCCTTAATAGCTAGTACACTTGAGTGTTATCGGTCTTCCAGGATGTTATTAAGTCAGTGGGCTGAACTCTGATGATAGCTGATAAAATAAATGAAGGAAGCAGAAGCTGCTTGACTTTCTCTTTTAATCAGTAACTCTAAAATATTTCAAAATTTAACTATGCTAACTGTAAAACATAGAAGAAGTTTCAAAAAACTTTGCCATCATCTTTGGGCCCAAACTCAGGGCTCGCGGAGATTCTACCAGTCCTGAGGGTATGCTTGGTCTAGCAACCCTTTCTCAGGAAAGTCTTAACAGGTCCCCTACCATCTCACACCTAAGCTGGGAGTTAAGACATACAAATGCCATCAAACTGAACAGGAATGGAAACAGGTCACTGCTGAGAGAGAGCTTTTGAAACCTGCCCTGCTTCCCCCACAGAAGTTGTTTGAGCAAGCAAAGACTGTATGCCACTCCAGATGTTAAACTAAGAAAGGATTTTTCCCACTGAACTACTCCTCCTCCCAGGATGGGACTGCATTATAGAAGCTAGCTGTTGAAAACTTGATGGCTGTTTTTAAATAGCCCATGTTTTATTCCCAATTGAAAGAAGGAATGGTCTTTCTGTATTGAAAGTCTCCTTTATTTCCTAGAACCAGCATGTCCCATTGGTTTTAGGAGTGCTGGAGAGACTATAGTTTGTTCTAGTAACATTGATGCATCCTTCTGAATGTTTGGGCAGGGCATGTTCCAGCATCTTTTAACACAGCAGCAAGTACATGAAGATGGTTGCCATTGGCAACTTTCTCTCTGCAGACTATCAGCACTGTCATATACATACTAGTGTAAACTAGAGGACACCTCTTCCAGTAAATGCTAAACATACATATGTCTCTGTTCTACCTCCTTACTCAGCTTACCCATCCATCTCTGTGTCCACTACTGCAGTAACACTGGGCCATTCCAGATCAGCACTGGAAGGAAGTCTCTTTAGCTGTCCAACATCAAACTTTATCTCATTCTTTGTGGTGACAAGAACATGGGTGGTGTTACTGCAGCTTGGCTGTTCACACCGATGGGACATCTGGAGTTCTACTTTAGACTTCTTGGCTTTTGACAGCCTTTTGTACCCTATATTTCTGAATGCATTTTCTGTGGCTGGACTTTTTTACAGCTTGATGTTATTAATTTATTGCACCAAGCTTTGCTGTTCTTTCTTATGCACCCACTGCAGCTGTATGGATGCAACTTCATCCTTATATACTTCCCTTCATCCTTAATAACTTCCCTTCTCCCAGGTGCAAGCTCCTCAGGTATTTCTACCTTTGCTTTTGAATTTCTGCAAAGGTTGGACAATGAAGACCTCTTCTATTGGCAGGGTCATCCTGAACCTGCTGTAAAAAGATGTTCCAAAACCTGCCTTCCACAAGGCACACTGCACTGCCAAGCTTGTGCCTCTGCTTCATGAGCATGGATACTTTCAGCACTTGCTTAAGTGTGATTGTCTGTGATGCCTGTGCACACCTGAGCAGGGGGCTGTTTCCATAGAATAAGTCTTTGACACGACACATTCTACCTTCACGCTTTGGGCAGCGACAGACAAAGCAGAATGTAAGAGAATGAGTAAAAGACATCACAGAAGACAAACATTAGTGCTGAATGATGGGATTAGCCAAAGGACAAGCCAAGACGGTTAAGAAGCCAGGCTGTTAGCCAGTACCTAGAAGACACGTGGGATTGTGTGGGGCTCTTAGCTTCACAGCTCTTCACCACTGATGGATTTCTACAGCAATGGAATGAAACGAGACATGAGTTGTGCACGTGCCACGGGACAGCATGACCATCCCGACTGCTAGCCAGCCAGCCAGCCAGCCACAGGGACACCCCATGCAGCTCACCTAGAAAGTAATGAAGATACAGGCTTTTCAACAGAATTGCTCCTTTCCCATGGCTTCTTCCCAGAGTCTGGAAAACAAAAATGAACAGTTACTGTTAATTATTTTTTTCTCTAAAGATAAAAATATCCTGAAGTTGATTGTCTTACACAGCTGCTTTCATTCAGTGAGGATGAGTGACTTAGAAAGATCCAGGAAAGCAGGATTGATTGAATGAATGAATATTGAATGAATATAAGCAGTCGCCTATATTACTGAGAAAGCATTGCCAAAAACATGCTTAGTGATCCCTTTAATTAGGGACCGGATAGTTAAACAGTATTAAAAAGACATGGAACTGGACTGTTATGAGGAAATGCATAAATAATTTCTATTAAGAAATACAGGCTAATTGCTACAAGGCTTATTTTATTCACTACAATACCTATTTATATTTTAAATTAAAAAGCCTGAAGTTTTTTTTTGTCTGCATAGTTGGCAGAAAATATGGGTGTATCTAAAAAAAGGCAGTGAGACCCCCACTATGCAAATCTCCATAGAAAGTTTATTTAATGTTGTCTAGACTTCTGACTTGCAGAATGTTCCTGAAAACTTCACTATGCAAACTGTTACTGAAAATGCTTACTATCATTTCAATCTATCTCCTCTAAAATAAAGTGAACTGTTTCCGAGACTTCAGTAACATTCAACTTTATGCAGAAGGGTTTGCTCCTCCGTGAGGTCCTAAAAAACTCCTTAAAAAAATTATGTCACTCCCAGGAAATGTCTAGGTATCATTCCTCATTTACATGCACCTTTCTCCTGGCTTCTTCCCCTTCCCTTGCAAAGCACGCAAATAGTGGCTTTGTTCCAAAAGGAAGCTGGTATGGTTAAATACTCATTCCCTTGGGAGAGGTTTCTTTTAGCACGTATGAAAGCCAAGGCTGAAGCAAGAATGAATCTGACTGGCTTGCAGCTTATCTACTCGGAGACAATCATTTCAACTTATCATAGGAAAAACATACTTTGAGGGCTCCTTAATTTAACCTAGCAACTCTCAGGATCAGGCTTACTGCAACAAGCTACCAAGATCCATACCCAACTGTACCAACCAGGACAGCTACACTACAAAAAAGAAAATAATACAGCTTTTTTTTACTCTTAGAAGATTTCTATGCACAATGTTGAAGACACAGATCCTCAGTTACATGACTGGACCCCATTAACTAAACTGGCTGTATTGGCATTTTCTTGGCTGTGAAGCATATAAAATCACCATTTCTTGCTGAGTAGTTTTTAAAACAATAGGTATTTGAGAATTTTTCTTTTAGTTGCATTCAGAAGTAGGATGATGAACTCAGAGTCTGGAAGTGGTGGAAAAGACTAGATTAAGAAGACAACGACGACACTAGTAGTTTGATTGAATACCTGATGAATTTTGCTGCTGCTGGGTGGAACCTCGTGTACTGGGTGAAGGAGAGGTGCTAGCATCATCCTACAAAGAGAAAACCAGGACATTACTGAATTCTGGAGATGAAGCAGAGTCCTCTTCTGCGCTGTAGAGAGCAGTTGCAGCACAGGTGGTACGAAAGCAAGTTTCCTCCAAGCATGTCTAACAGGCACTGCTGCCAAAGTATGGGCTCAAGTCCATTTCTCTCCCTTTACCATGGCAAAATACATACTTTTAAGTTTTTGCTAATGTGGACATCTTTCCATGATTCCATTGAATCACTCTCATCCCTGTACACCAAACCAGACTGAATTACCCCTCTGAAGTTCTGGCTGCTGCTGTCTAAATACAAATCACCCATTTCCCAAATTTAGAAACTTTTTGTGGTATGGGAACTGAGGTCAGGTCCCAGCCTCTTAGTCCAGGAGAGCCACTGGTATTAGTAAGAATAGTCCAGGTAGTAACAAAATGTATTTAAGTAATTCAGTACACCTCCTAAGTAGAAGATTAAACATTGCATCACGTATTTGAACTCTTTTTTCTGGGTTTTATATGACAGACCATAAAACATTCACCCATATATTTGATACGTCAATATTATTTAGCAATCCTCAAAACACACTCAGGAAAAGCATTCATTGTGCATTGTAAAATGGAACTGCACCCAGTTTGACAGAAAGTGCCCCATCACAAAGTGTACTCAAGATACACATCAAACAGATGTTCTCTAAAACACATTTCTATTTGGTGCTATCAAAAAGTTTGATTTAGGATGTAAACTAATGCAGAGCTTCAGGGAGAGAGTAGAAGGGACAGAAAGACAGCAGAGGCTGAATAGTTAGAAGCTAAATGGTGCCTTTCATCTCCAAGTGTATGGTTCAAAACCAGCTTTGGGGCAAAATTAAGAGCAATGGTTGCATAGCGGGTTCAATAGGCAAATTCCATGCTTGAAGCATCCCTTGAGGAACAAGCAAAAATAGCTGCTTTTTTCCTTAAACAGTGCAAAGAGTTTATTCCTGCTCTTGCTACAAACCTTTCAGATGGGGGTGAGACCTACATTTTCCAAATGGATTTTCTACTGAGCAGCTGTTACTTTGTCTTTGGAGGCAATATCTCTATATAGGTGATATGAGGCACACATGATGCTTTATGAACTCACAGCCACGGCAGAGAGCCTTCACAAGGATGCTGGTTAGCAACAGGAATGCTGTATGAGCAGCAGCCCAGAAAAGCACCGCATGGGAAGGGACACAGTGTAAATCCTGGCCTCTCTTGAAACTGGAAAGATCTCCCATGCTTTACCAGTTCAGCGAGTAAAAAAAAAGTTTTAATCTGCATGTTGAACTCAGAATTGGTGCATCAAGTTCAGCGTAAAGACTGAGTAAAATCAAACCTCTTAATTGCTTTTGTGGACAACATGCAAACAGTACAGTTAAAAGAGAGATGAACCGATGTTCCCTGAAGCTGTTCAAATTCTATCTCATTTTAGTGCAGGTATCATGAACACATATTTTAACCTTTCAATGGTCTAATGGTTAATGCACTGTTTTTCCTTCACCCCCCAAAGACATGTATGTGCACTCGGGGGTCTGAAGCGAGCTGATCCTGGCTTTGCATGGAGGTTGGCAATCCGAAGTTACACCACATAGTTGATGATCCCCTTCAGCTTAGCTGAAACTGCAAATTTAAAGTAAGAATCATGAACTTTATCTCAAGTTGACTTGCCAGAAGGTTCAGTGCACCTTCTGATGGAGCAAGAATCTACCATACCCTACAAGACTTGGATCAGACCATGAGAAACTCCTATTAACCTAGTTTGGACAATACCTCACCTATGAATAAGGCAGCAATTCTTGTTTATAGGGTGCTGTTCCCAGGAAAGGTAGAAACACTTACATGTAGCTTTTGACTGAATATGCAGATCTACTCCTGGATCAGCACTGCTTGTCACTGCCTGCCACACACAGTGAATGAGCACAGGACTTTGCCTTACAAGGTAGCACATCAACATATTTGCAAGAGCAGAAGAGTAGGAGTCTTTCACTTACATTTTGGCTTTCCTCTTCCTTTTTGTCAGCTGGCTTGTCTGACTGCGATGCTGCTTTTCTCCTTTGCAAAGGAACATGAGATAGGACACATAGTCAACCCTCTAGAAACATATCTTCCATATGGGAAGGCTGATTCAGGCTCTGGTCAGAGTTATTATTTTCTTAGTTCATCCAAGGGAATGTGGCAAAGGCTGCATGTGTTTCATTGTGTAGGATTAGGGTGGAGGGGAGGAATCCAAACCTTGGTGACACAACTCAGGGAGGGGGCACAATTATGAGGTGTTGTTTAACAGAGGAACACAGGGTGCAAAGCATAAGGAAATATGTTGAAGTGGAGGAAGGGGGCACAGCTGGATATGAAACCGGGTGACAAAGGGATGGCTTCTCTGTAGGGCTTAGGAGCTGGTGGCTCCTGGGTCCTACACGGAACAACCCAAACCACTAGACTTTTCTGAGGACCAACCCAACCCTCCCCCAGGTGGCTCAGGTGGGTATTGCAGAGATGACACTGTTCTCAGCCAGCTCCAGTATAATTTTGCCACCTGTCCTATATCCTCCCATCCCTATTCTCACCCAGAGAAAGGGCTATGGCAGTGATCCCATGTGATGGGATGACAGTCAGAAAAGCCCTTCAACCCACATCCATCCCCACTGGAAAAGATCAGGCACTATTTCTGCTCAGCCAAGACGCCTGCTCCCTTCAGGGTGGGAAAGCTCTGACTGGAGACCATAAGTCAGGAAACGAGTGCACCAGCCTGGGTTTTCAAGTGCCTTTGGTGAGTGATGGGAGATTATTGCTGTCTCAAATCCAATTCAAAGGCAGCAGAGCTCCTAAGCCCCATGGTCCCAGGACTGGCAGCACTGGTGGTGCCTGCGGAAGCTGAGTAAGGACCTGAGACCCTTGCACTGTCCTGCTTCCCGAGGAGAGGCAAAAGTTTCTGAGAAGCAGCAGCAAAGTGCTGCAGTCCATCCACTGGATCAATTGGACATGAGAATAAACAAAGATGTTGGTTGTTAACCTTTGCAGAACACATGGTAAAACTTCTTGGTTGTTACCCACACTGGCTGAAGAAAATCAAATTCTTGATTTTCAAGCCCTGTTTATGCTCTGAAGAGTACTCAAGTGTGCCAGGCACTGATTGTCTAGACATCCAATTTCCCATTTCAGATAATTAGGGGAACCGCAGCTCTAGCCTCCAGATGAACTTTGGTTGTCATGATCCTTATCCACCTGTGAACACTATCCCTAGCAGATGTTTTTAAAACACCAAAACACCAATATGATACGCTTTTCATTTAGTCTTGCTTCTGAAGTGGACAAAATTTATCTCACATTAAAAAAAAAATAAAACCCCAACGGCACTTAGAAAGGCTTCTGGGTTTCTAAACACTGCTACAAGTTTGTCAAATGACTTTTTTTTTCATATCACTGCAAAAGAAAAGCCTCCCTGGATACACAAATTGGAGGCTTTTATGTAAATTTGTCAGAAAACTAGGAGTAAAACACATGCATGTGTTTGTAGGATACAATGCTCTGTGGGAATTATTTCCAGATATCCAACTGCATTAATAATTTTATTGGGTCAGTAATAATTTTTATATTCTTTTTCTAATATTTACTTGAGTCTTCTGAGGAAAAAAAAACTTACAATGATTACAAACTTTAGTGAGGGAAAGACTTGCCCGGGTGAGAGACCAGTGTTAGATTTATGTCCTGCAAGAAACTTAACTAGGCTAGAAATTACAGTAGTTTGTGAGAGAGTTCATTATTCTGCTTGCATTTCAGTCCTAAAGCAAAGGGCCGTTCTCATGGGGGCCACTAATACTAGAGTGCAGTATTTCATACCACCTGATCTCTCAGAAGCGTTTTCCTCCGTTACTGACCCAGCACTAGGCACAGTCCCTGTTTCTGAGCATGTGGTTTTCTGCTCAGAAAAGGGCCCCTGAAATCCCAGGCTCATCACTCAGTACTTTCTGTATTGAACATGCTCTATTTGTATTTTTACCTCCTGCCTGCCAGCTCGGTAAGAGCAACCTGAAACACAGTGCTGGGTTCTTTCCTTCTCTGCGTCATCACAAGTAAAAAGGGCTTTGCAGCCAAAAGAAATCCTCTCATCAGTTTAATAGCATGTGCCCAGATTGCACCCATGGCTGAAAATTCATTACAATTCCATGGCTTTGTGAAGCAAAACTTAGGAGACAATTCTGTTGCTGTCAATGCTCTGGGAAAGGATTTGCAGCTTAGTTATTTACAGAATAGAGGCAGAACAGTATTTATGGTAGTGCAGGTGCTTTTGTTAAGATACTGAGAGGAGTTGACCCTGAATACCTGAAGACACCAGATCCCACTGCCAAAAGCCACACTGGAGTACATGTTAGACTAGAACCACAAGAATTTGCAGGATTTCTGTGCAAGTGTTCAAATGCTTTCATCCAAGCATATGAGATGTCTATTTAAGCTTGTTTGCTTGAACAGAAGGAGTTACCCCAGCATCTAGTCACTGAACCTTACTTTGCTTACAGACATCATTCAATTCAGCAAAGTCAGTCTTGATATGTAGCAGCACAAAATAGATCAGAAGGTGAACCAGTAAATAACTATTAAAAGCTGTCAAGCTATTTTATTTCTGAAAAGAAAGAAAATTATCTGTTTTGTATATTACACTGCTGGGAGCATTTTATAGTGTTGTGTATCCATCCTCTGAACCGGGAACTGTTTTTATACTGGACAACATATTTAAGAACTCCATCTCTGCGCACTATACAACTGTACCTGTTCTTTTTCTTTTATATTTATATTATATAGT